TTTTTTTTTTTTTTTTTTTTTTTACGATGGCAAAAACGCACATTAATTAGTGCACATTAATTCATGCGTTTCAAAATCATACGTTTCTGGTATGAATATTTAAAATTTTTTTCTCGATATAACATGTAATGTAACTATGGCCTGTTCTTTGTATTTTACACAATCCTTTTTTTGCATGGTACGCACCTGCCGTGTAAAAAGAGGCGCAGGTGTATGTATATTAAAACGTCAGCAATAGTATAGGTAACAGGGACTCAAATAGAGTTTCAGGCATCAGACACTTCTAGAGTTTCATTCATATAAATGAAGTTTTACTGAATCGAATATCGATTTTTATTTTGTCGAGTTTATGCCCATACACGAGTCTTAAAATATCTAATATTTCAATATATATAAAAATTTAAATCTTTTATTATTTTCATTATAATGTCTTCATTAAGAAAAATAAGTTAGACCTAATTCTAAATCCCTAAAAAGTACGTATAATTTTTTAATCTTGATTAATTTATTCGAAAAAAACGCATAATAATTTATATCTTAAAAAATGAAATAACGATAAACAGATATTTCACTTAAGAAAAGCGGTGTATTGAAATGATCGTTTGCCGGATATTTGCAGCGGAAGACGAATAACGCCATCTAAAAGGAAAAAGAAAGAAAGGGAATAAAGAGACGCATGATCTTTTTTGAAAGGTGACCCTGCCAGAGGATCGACCTCCAAGCCTCGGAGAATGAAACCTCGCAGTCTCGTGATTGAGGATAACGAAGAGGCAGAGTATGGTTATCGGAGTTACGGTGAAACCGAAAAGGAAGGACAGACGGACAAAGTGCGGTGAGTTTATTTTCGGTGTTGAGACGCCGGTGTGCGTCTCTCCCGCCGATCAACGTCTCTCGCGACGTTCGCCTCCCCGACGATACGTGTATCCATTTCCCATATGCGTGCTGCCAACTGTATTCGATCGAATCTTATTCCTTCGATATCGGAACTTCCTTTGTTTTCGTTGTTATTTTTCGAATCAACCCGGTGACAATGATGGATTCAATGAACGGTGATTTGATTCGTGAATTAAGAAATAATTTATTAATTTCATAAACGTGAATAACAAATGATTTCTCTCCCAAGGAAATAAGAATGACGAGACATCGAAAGCAAAAAATCTCTCTGGATCTCTCGCGCATGATACTAATTTTTTTAGCAAGTTTATAATGTTTCAAAATATTTTGATTTGCTAGTATCTCGATGAGTAACCTTGATAACGTATACCAAAATCGTTCCTTGCTCGAAGTGCAAATGAATAATATTTCTCGAAACCTTGACTTCCTCGCGACAATCTCATTTGGCCGATTGTCACACAAGTCACGCTGCGCGAATCAACGAACACCAATCTGTGCCAAACGAGTTCCACTTTTAATAGAGATTAAAGAACCAACAATTTTTACTATTTTCTTTTTCGAACAAGTAGGTAGTTTAAGTACCTTATTGATTAATCGAATTAAATTATCTTGAATACCAATCGTGTTTTCCTTATTATTATTGCATCGATTGTCAAAGTTGTTGTAACGTGAACGAAATTATATATATGATTATAAAAACGAGAATTGTCTAATTGTCATCTAATCATCGCTTAGAACACGTGCGCGTACAAAGTCGCGTTCTCTCCGTCAGTCTCGTTCTCGATACTCGATCGTGGTGCGTTTCGATATTTTTAGCGGGCACGTAGACCCGCCGCGTGGGAAGACCAGCTTCAGGGCTGATGTCCTAATGACTTCCATTTTCTCTTTTCCTCTCTTTTTTCACTTCCGCGGTCAAATCAAAAATCAATTTCAACGTTTCAGAATCAACCAAGACTTGTGAATAAATGTCGATAACATAAAACTCAGTGAATATTATTCGATTTGATCTTCAAAATTTGACATATTGTCGCGTCATATTCTGTTATGTCATTGCTCGAATGATGTGACTTGTTACAGCAAATGATCCTGAGCTGAGTAATTTGAATATAATGCTTATAGGAACGATGTAGCCAGGTCACGATAATTTTTACTTCTTATTTATAGATCGAGTTTAAAATACCTCTTGTCAACGAGCAAAGTCTGAAAGAACGCGAGATAAATCCGACCGAGCAATTAGAAATAAATGCGCGACTGATTGTAACGTACCGAACTATCGCACTTTCATAATATGAATTGCTTACTTCCCGAATAATTTTTTTTTGTTTTGCTATTTTGTCGTATATATTACATATATATATACGTATATGTGTGTGTACATATATATGTTTTATATATATATATATATATGTACATATATATATATATATATATTACGTGATTTAGGAGGATGAATCGAATGAAGAAATACTCGCAAAATAGAGGGTCGACGCGCGAAGGCGCCGTTTGGCAACGATCGCTCGAAAAATTTGCCAACGTCGATTCTGTCTTATTGTGGCCTCGAAACATCGACGATCGACCGAGCACGCGCGGTTCCTTGTTACGTCGCTTCCAAACACCTACATTATATGCATTCCAAATTAGATAGTAAATTTTTACTTTATATTATTTCATATATCTTCTATGATTATAGTATATAAAATTTTATTCATTCGTTTCATATATTATGGATTCTCAATTATTTCATTGTATTTTCTCCATTATAAAAAATGATAAAGAAAGCAATAAAAAAGTAATACATTTCAAATTATCAATCATCCAATATTTCTTAGGGGTAGATGTCATTCAAACATGACGTCATGTGGTGACTTGTATGGTATCTTATGATTCACATATTATTATTAAAACTTTTATTATTCTACCGTACGACTCGTATTGCATATATGAATGAATCTATCTACGTTCGCAATGGGTGATTGTACGCGGGATCGCAATTTCTCGCGACGAAAGTTTGAGTCATCAAGAATTAATAGACTACTCTTGGTGAATTTCATTCGCGACCATCTGGATCTATGCTATTCCAATTCTAGTAATTCTTTTCCAATGTTTCATTAAAACTTTCAAATTCTTTGATTTCAAATATAAAGAATTAATTAATTGTATTATATGAAATATTATTAAAATACAAATCGTATCGCATAAAAATAATGTGAGAAAATGTTACTACTTTCTTTAAATTCTAATATCAGGATTGAGCATCACAAATTCAAGTATATATGGTGAAACTTGATGTAAATATTGACAGTAAAATCAAATCAACAGAAAAGACTGATGAGTAGAATCGGTAAATTAATTTACCGATGAATAAGACATCGATCGACTCAAAAATCATTCTATCAATTAGGTTGAATAAAATGTATGTCATTGTGTATGTGTATGTATTTGTGCATCGTATGCAACTAAAGCACGTAGCACGGTATGTAGGTTCCTATCGATAAAAATAGCATTCTGATATTTCGATGAGTTCTTTAGGAACATCCGTTAATTGTTTCGATTGTTCACGAAGTCGAAGGAAGAAATGTTCTTGGATAATACTTCATAATAATATTATAAATATTCGAGAACCATGACGAAAACGAAGGATGATGATGATAATGGTGAGGTTTCCTTCTTCGTTATTGAGTAATCGAAAACGCCCACGACAGAAAATCGACGCTTCTTCGTAACATTTCTTTATTCAGGATACATGTCCGTTCTTGAGACTTGTAATCGTCGATGAAACGAACGAATGCTCTGAATGAGAATCGACACTCGGGTAGAGTCTAAAAATAGCGAGAATTTGTACCTTACAGTGAACTCTGGAGCCAAATTATCCTCTTTTGCGGCTGCTTTCCGCTCCCGGGGAACTATAGAAAAGATACACTATTTACACTGTTATAATCGTCTTTACGGTAAATTTGATCACTAAGTCTCTACAACTTTTGAATTTTTCTGAGAGATCGCACACGTTCTTCGTTTCCATTTCATTTTACTAGACATTTTTCGCGTGACGATACCGCACACGGTTCATGCGCTGCCACCATCTTTATTTACTAATTTTGGACTTGATCGCTGAGAACAGGGAATGGATAGATTATAGTGATACTAGCGCCATCATTCGACGTCATTTTCTATATTGCAAGTGTATGCATTTTAAAAAATACTTTCATATGATCTTTCTAGTTTCATTGCAATTGCATTTTTCCATATATTTTAGATATTTACTATAGATAAAATTTAATATATCTATTATTTATTAAGTATTAACTCGTGTTAAATATATGTTGATGATATAATAAAATAAATAATAGAACTTATTTTACACTATATTCATAAATGTTAAACTTTTTAATTTTTTTTTTATAAAATGCAATATTTATTCTATAACATAATATAAATAATATATAATAAATATATTAAGTTAATTAAAAATTATTGGAATATTTATTACAATTATTAAAATTATTTATTATGATTCTTGAAAAATGTAAATTTCTATACTTGATTCATGATTAGATTAATCTATGACATAGTGTGTGTATGTTAACGCATCGTGAAAATTGGAGGTTATGGATGGAAAAATGGAATATGTTGTGCAATTTTGTACATTATTTTATTACTTTATCGAATAATTTTTAATGAAAGTGAAAAAATAATTAGTAGTTTATAATTAACAGTATGGATCCTACAGAAGACTGGAGTGGTAATTGCCAAATACTAGAAAATGAAACTCAAAAAAACGAAAATAAAGAAATTAATCAAGTCATACCTGGATATGCAAGTTTTCATGATTACGTTCAAGTATGATTAAACTTATTGAATCATTAAATTTATTCTTTCTCATATAAATTAAAATATAATATATTTTATTTTAGGAAGCATTCCATGTTATGAAACTTGGGATCAAAAATGCTAATAATTTACCGACGGGATCTAATTTCAATTATTACTCGTGTTTTCCCAGTTTTCGCAAAAATAAAGATAATAATATAAAATTATTATTAAACGTTGTGCAACATGTATTGGGAATTACTGGTGTAAAAAATAATATTTCAAATCGCGACATTGAAGAAAAATTTGATCTTTTATTAGAAGCAAATGATGTACTACTGGATCGAGCTGTATGTTTTATTAAAACATTTATATCTAAGATTTTTTATATATAAATTTTATTCTTTATAAATATATTTTTTTCATATTATAGAATGCTTTAATGGACAAAGAATGTGGTATTACCAAAAATTCAGAAGTAGAAGTTGTGGTTTCACATTTAAAGAGTCAACCGATCAATGGTGGATGGAACAATCAAATTTGTCAACCATTGCAAATTTCAGAGAATGCTCAATCTATACGCTTATTGGCTGGTAAAAACATTCAAAGACCACAGCTAATGTTCAAAGATAAAATTGACAATAGTTCAAAACCTTGGTGTCCAAGGATTAAAGATAAACCTAATTCTTTGAAACCATTAGCTATTTATTTGGAAGAAAGTGAAAATGGTGAAGTGTTTAATCATCCTTATGAATATGAACTGAATATGTTTGTTCCTCCCAATGATCAATTGAAAAAATCTGAACCAACAAAATACAAAAACTTGGAAGATACATTATTAGTAATGATTAAAGATCCATCGGATATTAAGTTATTGATAAATGATTTAAAACAATATAAAGAAATCGCTGTAGATTTAGAACATCATTCTTATAGAAGTTTTCAAGGGATAACTTGTTTGATGCAAATTTCGACAAAAGATAAAGATTACTTGATAGATACTTTGTCATTGAGATCTGAATTACATGAGTTAAATGAAATTTTTACAAAACCAACAATATTAAAAGTTTTTCATGGAGCAGATTTAGACATACAATGGCTTCAAAGAGATTTATCTTTATATGTAGTGAATATGTTTGATACACATCAAGCGGCGAAACAACTTAATTTACCATATTTAAGTTTAGCATATTTATTGAAACATTATTGTAATGTAGATCCTGATAAACATTTTCAAATGGCTGATTGGCGCATAAGACCTTTACCAGAAAAACTTATTAAATATGCTAGAGAAGATACACATTATTTATTGTATATAAAGGATATGTTAAAAAATGCTTTAATTGATGTAGCTAATGGACAAATTAATATTTTGAAAGTTGTATATGATAGAAGTACGGAGATTTGTAAAAAGACATATGTTAAACCAATTTGGACAGAAGAAAATTGTATGACAATGTACAGAAAAAGTCAGAAAATGTTTAATAATAAACAACTTTATGCTTTAAGAGAATTGCATAAATGGAGAGACGATACAGCTAGAGTAGAAGATGATAGTATTGCTTATGTATTACCAAATCATATGTTGTTAAACATAGCTGAAACATTACCTCGTGAAATGCAAGGAATTTTAGCATGCTGTGATTCTATTCCTCCTTTGGTTAGACAGAATTTATTAAAACTGCACAAAATAATATTGAAGGCTAGAGAACAGCCACTTATTAAACCAATTCTTGAAGAAGATATTAGACAAAGATTAACACAAAGGAATCATCATACTAATTTAGATGTATGGATGTATTCCCCTCATGATATTCCTAGTGATATGGAAGCAAGAGCAGATTTACCATGTTTGTTAGATAAAAATAATATATTAGAAACACCAATTTCAAATATTGCAACAAAACATACAGTGACTGTATTTGACAGTCCAGCAACATCCGAGGTTATATAATAATATACAACATAATTTAAATTATATATATTTTTCACACAAGAATTAAAAATAAATGACATCAAATATAATTTTGATAATTATAATTTTTATTTCAATGATTATTTATTTATTTACAGGATGAAGAAGTTGGAAAAACTGAGCAGGAAAGCATTAAAAAGAAAAAATTTGTTTTTGTAAGTCCATTTGAACGATATAAACGAGTTATACCTATGATAGCAGAGCAAGAAGCACAAGAGAGAGAGAAACAAAAACAAGAAGAAGAAAATCGTTTGAATAAACTGAAAAAGGAAGAAACAGAAATTGCAGAAAGCAAAAACAGAGTTTATGAACACTTTAAACAAGTTTCCCAAATAATAACAGGAAAAAATGAATCAGAATTATCAAGAAAACCATCTCAAACTCCATTAAGTCAAATGCCAGGACGTAAAAGAAAAAGAGATTCAAATATTAATAAACAAGATGAAGTACAGGAAGAAAAAACTAATGATAATTTATCAACTCCAGTTCCGATATTAGAGACCAGAATTATTCAAGATCTGAAAAAAGATATAAGTGAAGTTGAACATTTGAAAGAAGAACAAAATGCACAAGAAAGTATAACAAAAAAACAGAAACAAATTCCAAATAATGAAACCATGAATTTGTTGCGGTAAGTATTTATTATTATTATTATTATTATTATTATTATTATTATTATATTATTATTATTATATATTATTATTATATATATTATTGTTATTATTATATTATTAATTAAAGTTCAATATTTTCATAAATTATAATAAAAATAACTATTTTTGTTAAAATATTAGATGATTACTTTTGTTTTATATTATTTTAAAATTATTATTTTAAAATTGTAATCTTATAATATTTATAAGCTATAAATATATGAACTAATAATCAATAATAATTAATATGACAAGAATTATTAATAAAATGAATTTATTTATAGATCAAGAAAAAAAGGAGAAAGAGAACGTATAATTAAAGATTTGGAAAAAAAAGGCATGATGCCATCAAAAAAATTCGATTATAAAATCGTAGATTTTAGTGCTTTTCAAGGAGGTAGTCAAAACGTACCCAATCAAGTACAATTTGAACAAACAATGGTAAGAATATCATTTATTTATATATCATTTCATTATCATTTAATGAATTTATAATTCAAATATCAATCTTTATTTTTGTAGAAAAAGAAAAAACAAAAAAACCGAAAAAAGAAGAAACAAAAGAAATTAAATATATAAAAATCGATTGTAATATTTTAATAATTATCCAGGGTATATTATATCTTCTTATATCACTAAATACAATTAACAACTCAAAAATTTTAAAAGACTTTAAAATTATGATGGCAGATGTTTTTTTTCACATCATGTACATATTACATGCAATTATATCATTTTTTTTATATTGTCTATAAATTAAATGCAATAAATGCTTGTAGATAACTTTTAAATAACTTTATATTATAATATTATTAATATTATAAAAAAATGTAAATTAAATACTACTCTCTTCCCCTCCTTTC